AGTATTACTAAAATAGAACTCATAAAAAATATTTATATAATAATATGTAAATATAATATATTATTTATTATAATAATTTAAATTTTTTCTTTATATTTTATATGTAAAAAGATATGTAATTGTGCAACAACACATGAGTTTTCAATCGACACCGTCAATGTAATTAAGTTTTTATTTAGTTATAAAGTTATATTATTGTGTAACTATGTACTTACATAATACGTTCCTCTTATAGGAAGGAACATGTGTCCAGTATGGGGGTTATATGTTTATTTATATAAAAAAAGAAACAAGGAAATTGTTCTAATAACTGACAAATTCTCCCAAGATTTACTTATATGGACTTGAAAGGTTTTTCAATGGCAATATTCGCGCGTGTAAGTGACGTGTATGTATTTCCATGACAGTTTTGATATTGAAATCACGATTTCGGTCATAAAAGTATAATGCTGCTGGTTCTGGCTACTTTATGTAAGCGAGATATAAGTATTTAGTTACTAGTTTTTACCCACGACTTTTTCCGCGTAATCGGGATTAACAAATAAAAGAAGTCTATGCCCTTCTCCTTGCTAAATACTGTCATTAAAATTGGCGCCAAGAAGTAACAAATAAACACAATGCAGTAATATATTAGATTTTAAGCGATTTCCAATAGAAGGTGATTCTCGAGTCGTTAGAATTTTTACGGGAGGGCTCGTACGGACGGGCAGATGACATGCATGTGTCAATATTAAGGGTCTCGAATGGTTCCGAAACTAGTCGAGCTTTTTCGACAAAATTATATATTGGAATTTAAAAAAATACGTAAATTACATTAATTACCAATTAAGTTAATCTTTCACTAATTCTACACCGCTTCTTACAATTGATAAGATTTACTTTTCCCATACAAATTATGATTGACGTCGCCGCTATTCTGGCACAAAACTCAATAATTCAAATCCGAATATATTTATAAATTTTGACATTTATTATAATAGGATAGCAGGAAGTAGGATTAGTAAAATAATAAGATGTATTTGAAAGGTCTATATCATGAAAACACGCTCCATTTTCTTTCATTTCATTGAAAATATCCATTCAGTATACGTATATAGAGATTTACTTCGTACACGCCGCAATCGAGTAACTACATAAATTATGAGGACGTTGCAGTCAGTTTAAAGAATCTATAGGATTAAATAAAGTACGAAAATTCGAATTTATTCTGTTTGTACATATTGGTTCGAATTATTTTAGCATGATGTTTATAGGTCACGTCTAAATATAAGAAGTAAAGTTTATATAATTAGCCCGATTTCATTATTGCGTTTCGAACATGCGATTTTAATATTAATTTATTATTATAGATTATTGGTATTCTTCGGTTCTGCATCTAGGTATTTATGGCCAACAAATAATAAAGATTTTGTTCCACAAATAGACTTAGCAAAATTAGCACGCGATCAATATAGGAGTAAACTGTGGATTGCACAAGGGGAATAGCAGCAAGTGTCCAACTTTGAACTTTAAATAACAGTTCTAGATCACTTCAGAATGGCGTTAGAGTAGTAAGAGGGTATGATATGAATTTAGTTCTTTTATTGATGGTTTGAGTCGCTGAGTCGCAAAGTTTAATTTTTATTCACTATTTTTACTCATATTATTTATTCATAATTAAAAATGATACTTAACATTAATTATGTTCTAGCTTTTTCTTTTGAAATGTGCGCCATTAAAAAGCGGAAGTTATATTTTCCTTGTTTACTTTCTTTAAATTTTACCCGGCTATTACTGTAGCATCACACTAGTTTAACGCCTTTCTTTGATGGATACTTTATTATACGAAGATGATCCTCTTTGCCTCTACCTTCTGTAGAGTACTTAAACCCTTTCAATTTACACACATATATAGATATAATATATAAAAATAGTCTAAATGAGAACCTCGTAATTTTTTAAAATAATACCCTTTACACCTTTACGGCATTTCATAGACTGTAGGTGTTTTATTGTATTGAACGCAAAATTGAACGTGCTAACATTTCACCGAGCATATTTAAATCCACATGACAGGAGGTAGGCCTACCGTCTCTTATATTGTTAAAGTTTGTTAAAAAGATTTATTATCATTAAAGAGTTCATTGGAATTATAATAACTCAAAAGTCTTTAATATTACATTGCTGTGTATTTAATATTAGGTAATGTAATCTTGGGCATCTGTTCTATTTTTATATATGTAATAAGATATTGATATTCGTCGTTAATTAACCATATATATACATATATCCATAGGCATCTCCTTTGGGGGGTTAAACTAGTAGTTGCCATGCTTAGCAGATGAGTAGGCAACCACAGTTAGGTTTTGGTGATATTTTAAAAGTGACGCTACTGTCCATCCTTCGATTATTAGTTTCCTTAGTCACCTCTTATACATACTCCTTTACGATCACGGAAAAGGAGAAGGTGGCCTAAACTATGCCGGGGTCACACGACAAGGCATTGTGTAATGTAATGATTATTAAAATTATTACATAAATATAAACAATATGATACAAGTTTTATTAAATATTTAAGTATATTAATCAGTTATCCATACTACAAGCTCTGGTTAGTTTGTGGCGCTGTGTAAACTATCCAGTATAGTATTTCTTTATTGATATTATCTAGTATCACAAATAAATAAATACTTAATTTCCAAGAATTCGTTATTTAAAAAGTTAATTATCGCTATGGACATGTTCATGCGAGACACTTCCTCTACATTGCCGTGAGGTGTCGACCTGATTCTGTGAAGTGACTCGGCCGACCGTGAAGCGGTCGTGTCATGCGTTTAGACATGGGTTCTACCTCCCTTCGTTCCAGTTTCAGGCTGCAATCTACAAAAGGGTAGAAGAATTAGACACCTACGTGACAAATGTATAATTATTGTGAATAAATAATGGTACTTAATAATGATACCAACAATAGCAAAAGTGTTTATTGACACAAATAATCTATAAATTTCTATAATAACTAAATTACGATATATATAATTATAGGGTTATATAAAGCTAACCCTGTACAGCACTGATTTTTAACCGAATTCTTTTTATCCATAGTGTAACAATAAAAATTCATGATTCAGGTCTTATTTTAAATTTAATCCAACAAATAATATACTTAAGTAGTACACTAAACATTAAAATAACACATACTGTCATTATGTTACCTATTAATATCTACATAGTATAAAACCAAGTCGCTTACCGCCATTTGTATGATTAGATCTCTTAAACTATGCAACGAATTTTGAAAAAATATATTTTAATGTTATAAAAATTATACAAATTATGTAGAGTATGCAGGTGGCTTGGGATCATTCTATATGGCAGTCTATAGGGGAAGTATATTCAGCAGTGGACAGATAACGACTGATATGGTGTTGATGATGATGATGATGATGTGGAGTTTGGAATTGCTATTTAGACGATTACAATAATAATATTAATAATGACTTCACACTCCACTGATACCACATTGTTTCTTCTTTATAATAATTTGCGTAATGTTTTATTCAACTTAAAACATTAAGCAAATAGTGAAATATATTTTAATATGGAAAGGAAATTTCGAAATAAAACCTCTACCTATGGTTTGCTTCCAAGCTTGTGTGGTAATATAATATGTACTATATTAAAATAATAGGCCCCGTATGAAGATGATTAACCCTTCTTTGCATAATGGTGGAAATTTTCATCATAACATTGAATGCTCAAAAATTATATAAAAGAACAAGTTGACTTTAAGTTGATCGTGTCTGGATACCTTTTTAATATCCATTGCAGAAAAAAAAACAGCTGTCAAAATTTTTTTTAACCATTTTTCCTTTAGTTTTGAACATGAATGGTATCACCTTGACTTATTTCACCAATAAAAAAAAATCATGCAAAGAAGGGTTAAACTTAAGATAAAAATAGACAATCAAATTTTGACTGCAATTGTTGGTTACTGCGGCCAAATTATAGCATTTTTTTTTTATTATTGATATTGTCTATGAAACTAGATGATGACATAATATTACGTTCATGTCATCAAAAACAGATCTCTGTCATAAGAATAAAATAAAATATTATCGTAGTCTAGATGGTTTGGATGCAATAAAAAAATTAAAATGTTAATTTTGTAAATTACATTATTAATTTATATAAAAGGAAATCTAACGATGGATATCAGCAGAACTATAACAATTAGTCAACATGCAGAAGGTTATTTATCATATGACGATTATTGGATTAATTAATTAATTAGATTAAATACCTCCATGTACGATGTGTTGCGCTCGCTATCTGACAGGTATTCTTATATTAAAAGCATTGGTTCTCGTAATTAGTTTTATTGTTTCAACCATATCAATCATAATCAATTGTATTTTGGTCTATTTTGAGTGTTACGTTTCTCACAATGGCACAATGGCAACAGTCGACAAATGCCTCTAATTACCCTTTGACATTGACAATTGAGAGCATTTTTTTTTAAAATATCTCAATTTTTACTTATGCTTTTCTGTGGTCTTTTTCATAGTAATCAAATTTTTAATATAATATTTAAATATATACGTAAGTCTTTATGAGATGATAGTGGAATGCTAATCCCGCCTGCGTTAAATGTGTACGCTGGCTTGGTAGGCTACCAATGATAAATGACAGGCGAGGGCGAAGTTAGATCAGTTGGCATATCGTGCGTAACTAATTTACCAGGAATTAACCACAATGGTTTACAGGGCGGGAGGGGGCGTGGAGGTCTACCTGCCCGGGTATATTTCTAGCAATGGGGCCGTCAGTTCTGATTACTAATAATCCCCTGCCTTTTATTATTGTTGGTCATATATGATGTAGTTACACGATATACGAATTGAGATGTTTCAGTGACAGTCTCTAACTTTATATTATCAGCATTAGGTTTAATTGGTTTATCATTATACTAATAGTGGTAATATATAGTTTAACGTTTCCTTATATTTGTGCGTACGTCGTTACAGGCAAGGACGGCTCGAAGGTGACGACTGTGGTGGCAACGCCGGGCCAGGGCCCGGATCGGCCACAAGAAGTTAGTTATGCTGACATGAAGCTCATCGGAAACGGCAGTTTCGGTGTCGTTTACCAGGCCAAATTATGTGACACTGGCGAACTTATTGCTATTAAAAAGGTGCTCCAGGACAAAAGGTTTAAGGTAGGTAATGCGACCATTGTAAGTGATACTAATACAGCAATTAATTAGTTTGTACAGACAGACATATCAAAAGTCAAACGAATATAATAAAACCCGCCTTGCTCTGTGTTCACATATATAATAAAGTTCCAAATGTATTATAACAACTAAACAAAAATCTATTTAGAAGGAATTTATATAGTTATATTATAACTAATTTGTTGTGGAAAATTATTGAATTTAGACGCTGTATTACTTTATCAAGATATGTGTATTCGTAAATGAAACAATAATTAACTATGTTAGAACATCTGATTCCCGCAAATCAGTTTAAGTTATTGATCTTACTGATTTCGTAATTACTTATGACTTACGAGGTTCTCATTTCGCTTTTTTTTTTTTCCATGTTTGTTATTTCATACCTCCGTCAGTTGTAAACCGATTTAGAAAATTCTACTACAACAAACTACTTACAAATTGGTCCCTTAGAAATTTTATCAAAATTGATTCAATAGTTCAGTTTTTAAATTAAAGGAACTGGTTTTGTTACAATTTCGAGTCGGTTTTATTTATTTTAGAACACAATTTTAATTATATTACGTTTGTTACTCAATCACGTTTAATATCGGAACGGATTCGAATGAAATTTAGTATACACGAGAATAGACTACGTGTATAAAATCCTAGATTTATACTATTTTATCTTTCAAATCGGAGAAAGCTTAGGGTTACAGCTAGTTTCTTATGTGCCGATTGATTGATCACATTTTATAAAAAAATAAGAAAAACTTGTGGTGTCAAAGACGAAGAAGAAATAAATCATAAAAAAATATTTTACTTCATAATTAAATTCTATAATGTAATATTTATACATTTCAGAATCGAGAGCTTCAAATCATGCGACGATTGGAACATTGTAATATTGTCAAATTGAAATACTTCTTTTATTCTAGTGGAGAAAAGGTAAATATTTTGTGTATTTTTATATACAAAAGAACCTAATAATTTATAGCTGATGCCATTTTACGTGGTTAATTTTTTGTTATAATAATAATTTAATTTATAATTCGGTAATTAAGGGTGTGTTATTTGTGTGTTTTATTCGGGGGAAGGCGGCAGTGCCCGCAGCAGTGAGCGCAATGTTAAACGCAATGCAGTCTCTTGAAGTCGAAGTATGTCAGAACCATTCAAATTCTTGCGCTAGTGTGCTAACGCACAAATTAGGTCTACGATCTTTGTTGGCAAGGGTTACCGAACAATATGTAATTTTAGATGAAATTCATCACAATTTGTGTCATAAATTATAGAGCTAGAGTTGAAGTATCGATCGGTAACCTGCGAAGCCTAACAATTGTGTGCATAATTGAGAAACCCCTTATCATACCACAAATCATATTATACTGGATCATGAGCTATACATATCATTTTATCATCAGAAAGAATGTAATTTTTTTGTCATCAGGTTTGAGTTTGCTTGCTTTTACATTTTTGTGTTTCTTTGAGAGATAGCTTTATCCGATCCATTTACACTCGCGTTCATGATTTTCATTTCATTTCTTCAAAAATGCAAAACGATTAACTATAAAAATATTACTAGCTGAAACAGTCGTACCAAGAGTACATTATTATAGAAAAAATAAAACTAAATAGCTGTTTTTTCTACATGATCGAAAGAATCTATTTGACATGAATTAAGATTAAATTTCTATATTCATTAATATTATTATTTTGTATTTGTATAATAAGTAATCGCAATCTAGGGACACCAGGGCTCAATTCTGCTAATTTACAAGTAATATAATTACAATAAGTATATTTTTTACAATAATTATAATTTTTTTTTTTTTTATACTACTATGATGACAAACAATCATACGGTCCGTTTGATGGTAAACGGAGTTACCGTAGCCTGTAACATCAGGGGTATCACGCGACCGTTGCCGACCCTGGAGCCTATATATTATTTAATATATTTCTAAAGGTATTATTTTTAGAACTTATGTACATTTTTAACGGTATTAATGGAAGGAAGGAAGGAAACCACAAACACATAAGTTCTTTAAGTGGTATTGTTGCTTATATATATAATATGTCATAATTCTGAAGTGTATTCATATAATAGTTTTTACACATTTACCCCCTTATTCATAAAAATATCAAACCTCTCATAAACCTAATGCGCTAAATTCTTAATTTGAATGACGGTGACAAAACATTTCAATAACTATAAAAGTTTGTGGGAGTTTTTAGTTCTTATGAATAAGGGGCTTAATGTTTAACCATATATTATGATATACATTATTTTTATTGATCAGTACTTCACTTTTTGCTAAATTGTTGAGTGAAAGTTTATGTTTAAGATCCGCCCTTGAAAAAAATTTTAATCTTCAGTGGTTATCGATTTCTCGAGATATATGACCAGCTCATTTCCTCTTCAGCTTACTCAGTTCATCACTCTACCAGAAGCAAACTTTGTACAAAAGTTGTTTGCGTTTGGGTATCTCTGCCCCAGTAGTGTTTTGTTGTAAAACACCAGTGCTTGCATAACTGCCTCGGTTTGAAAAGCTCGCTCTTATATCTAAATATGACAGTGAAATTACAGAGTACGGAGGCATAACACCACCTCGAAATCCTTAGGATGAAGGGTATAATGGACGTCATCCTATTATTAGTATTCGGTGATTTAGTTAATACTTTTCATATCTGTAGGCGTTAGTTACCACACATTCTATCAGATGGGCTGTCAGCTTATTGCTTAAAAACTCTATAGTACTACTAAGAAAACGAAAATAAACAATCTTATATCGGATTTTATTACGTAATATTACATCCGTCGAAGCTCTTTTCGTTTATTTAGAGACTTAAAATGTGTAGTTAGCGTATCAATAAGTAAATTTTAGTAACGCACAGATTGCTTTGTCTTTAGACTTTCTAGCAAGTTATACGAAAAATTCAGACATCTATTGACGCTAAATTACCAGAATTCGAGCCCAGGTTTTTAATTATCTTATGCCATAATCTCAATATTCTCTTTGCACATATACATATCCACTTACATGCTTTTCATGCATTTGTAAGAGAGTGAAGACATTAAAAACATTTTATTAAGACATGTTTGCTGAATTTTATTGATTGGGTTTTATTTCAATAACAGTCTGTTATTTGAATTAGTTTTGTTATTTTGCATACCATATATTATTCTGATTCTTTTATTTTATCTCTAATTATCGTCTTGATAAAAATATATTATTTTTACAGTATAATTAAATTAATGATAGGAAATGGAAATAACTATCATAATGTAAATACCGAATTAATAACGTTTTTTTGTATTTCTATTACAGAAGGATGAAGTGTACCTGAATTTGGTGCTGGAGTATATACCAGAGACTGTGTATAAAGTGGCACGTCACTACTCCAGAGATGAACAAACCATACCCATTAGTTTTATAAAGGTACAGTTGTTAAATTTACTACTACGCCTACTTAAGTAAAGGCTGCGCCCCCTAGCGTCCGATCCTCTGATGATAATTCAAAATGTAGATGACAATTATTTTTGTATACTTCAAAGGAAAATTTGAAAATTTCAGGGGGAACTTTGAATTTATTTTATTTGTTTATTCAGTAGTACATACATATATATGTGTACATAGCGGACTTAAATGTTAAAATCATTCTCTCCCAGTCAACCACAGGGAAGTATCAGAATACTCGAATGCGATACTAGTAATTATTTATATAGATACATACATATAAAAATTACATAGATAAACGTATAAGTATATATAAATAATAAAAGAACTAACACATATATAAAATATACTACATTATATACGAAAACGAGAATAATATATAGTACTTTATGCTCGGATAAATATGTAGAAGTGTGAACGTTTTTTTTTAAGACATTACATTTTGAAATCCTCGGAGCGTATTCCACCATTGTCCGGTTGAGTTGTCACCGCTCACATATGTATTTTGTATCTGTGCCCCGTGTCCGCAATAAAACTAATGACAGTTACATTGACTGAAGTATTAGTTACGTTAATGCGACTGTTAATTATTTGTAATTGTTACTAAAGCAACTAACTTATCTTACGTGAGCAATTTTTAAGAATGTATAGGTACTTTGCTGCATAACTTTTTTTTAATTACTGTTAGCATAATAATGGTTCTTTGTTTTAATAAGAAAAGATTATCTTAGACTAAACTGATTTATCTTACTAATATTTCACAATATATAAAAGTTTGGAAATGAGTTTATTAAATATTTGTTATTTAATTATACATAAACGTCTAAACCGATTTGATATATAGGAGGACCACATACATATACTGTTATGTTATTGGGGTAGGTAGAAAAAATTGAAAGAAAGAAAAATATTTTTTTTTAGTGACATACATAGACATTATAATTAGTAAAGTAAAAACAAATTCTAGTCACTAAAAAGGCTCTTACTCAGCGTGTGTCGGGAGTCCTTACGACTTACTGACACTAATCTTTCGTAGGATACTACCGAGTTCCGTGCGTAACAATGAAATTAAATAATAACACAAATATTAGTGTTGGTTTAGTATATGTAAATAAATAACAAGTGATACAGTGAAAAGAAAATAAATCTGTAATTTATCAGTGAAGGTATGGTAACAAATAGTCTGACAATTGACCACTAAATGCTCTGATTCAAACAAACCTTTTTCACTTTCTCCATGTTCATCAGTCTATTCATACACGCTCGCCGGTTACGGGCACTTTTAATTTGACCTTTATTCATCACGTCTCCTTTTCGGTGGACATACTCCTTAGTTTGTAAATATGTTTATTATTTGTTAATTACATTCAAATATCGTGACCCATTCGTATAAAATGGGGCATACATGTGGACCACATCTTAAATTAATCCGTATTATATTTTTTTATGTTACATAATGCGGGCAAAGTTGTGGAATTACAACTAAGTAACATATGAATAATTCCTCATAAACCTAGTAGGTAATTATTACAGTCCATCTGTCAAAGTTAAAATCTTGGTATTGTGACAGAAATCGGTGGTTTACTAAGATGGCACAAACCTGACAAATACAATGTTACGAATATAACGATTATGATTGATTCCAAGTGTACAGTTATTGTAATTGAAATTTCTATACGAAGAAGGTAGGAAACAAGCTCGCTTGATGGTAAAATGCTCCAGCTAGAGTAGCAAAAAACAAGCATACTATTTTATTATTAAAAGTTTCGGAAGCACTTATTATATTTTAATGTAAAAACTACCGCGTTAACTTATATGTAATTAGATTGAAAAAGTTCGACTAGTTTCGGAATCAATTCGTGATCTTCAGTCATGAGTGACTGTGACGCGAGCACGAGCCTGATGAGTCAGGCTCCGAAAGTTATTACATTAAAATATAAAGGATACGTTTAGAATACCAGAAACATCATTCGCATGTCGTCTACATTTGTATTTGTGACATAAATATATTGAATTACAGTTATTACTCTGTAATTTTTATTTTTATATCTGACTATCCAAAAGGTTTGCTTTTGCATGCTTTGTACCGACACAGGATTCCGATTATATTATTATGTATAAATTCTTTATTTTTTCTTCAACAGCTGTATATGTACCAGTTGTTCAGAAGCCTCGCATACATCCATTCGCTGGGCATCTGCCACCGGGACATAAAACCACAAAACCTACTCCTAGACCCGAAGACAGGCGTGCTCAAGCTATGTGACTTCGGTTCGGCGAAGCATCTTGTACGCGGGGAACCCAACGTTTCCTACATATGCTCGCGATATTACCGCGCTCCTGAACTCATTTTTGGCGCCATAGATTATACCACTAAAATTGGTAAGATTCAATTGTCATCTACAAAAATTCTTACTTTTTTATAAACATGAAAGTAACTTGTTACTTCACTAAGCAATCGTCATATAATTTGATACACATATTATGTGGTACGCAAAACGGACATAGGTTATTTATCTCATGTCAATTCTGATATACTTATTAGAATTGACGTAGAATTTGCGTAACACAAAAAAATCAATCAATTATGAACCTCTTTTTCTGTGTTGGTTTAAAACCATTATTTTGTAAATAAAATATTTTTATAATTGTTAGCAAACGAGGACATATAAATTAATACATGAATACGTTTTATTAAATTATAATTTTATTCACGTATTTACTCTACAGATGTCTGGAGCGCAGGATGTGTTGTAGCAGAATTACTTTTGGGTCAACCGATATTCCCGGGCGACTCTGGTGTTGATCAATTGGTGGAGATAATCAAGGTAAATATCAATCTTCTTATTCATAACAATATAAACTTCTACAAATCTATTTTAATTTATCTTTCATATCCAAAAGTTGATAAAGAAAAAAGACAAAACACTTCAATAGCTAATACAAGTTTGTCAGATGTTTGACGTTTCTATGAATAAGAGGAAAAGAATATTTTATGTTAAGTGTAGAACATTTTATCACACAATTTTTGTTTTGCAAAATTATTGTGAAAATATTACTATTTGAAATTTATTTATAAATACATTGTAACATGAATTTATGATATAGATTTATTTATCTGTTTTTTTTTTTTTATTCAGCCATAAATTTTACTGTTATATTTCAATGCAGGTTCTAGGCACGCCTACACGAGAACAAATCCGAGAAATGAATCCGAACTATACAGAATTCAAGTTTCCCCAAATCAAGAGTCACCCTTGGGCAAAGGTAAGTGCAATTAAAATACTTTGTTTAGTTACTTATTTTGTCATTCATTTTAGGAACGGAACTAAAAATATATTTCGAACATTGAATGTCACAGTCTAAAGAACTTTTCCTACCAATCATCCAACTTATCATGTAACAGTTTGAGTTACGTCGAAGGCGTTGGACCACTGGTTATTTGCACTGCGGAATGTTCTTCTTTTAGAATCACATCCATATCTCATCCGAATGAGTTTATATTTGTGAGAATATCGAATTTTATCACTTATTAGAAAATGTCTTATTGGCGAAATTATTGTACTTTGAATTTGAAAAATGATTCATTATAGCATTACAGTATAATAACAATGATAGAACAACTATAACTAGCTATGACTGTTATTTGGAATCCATTCTAAAAGTATAACTAATAATTCGATAAATCCCTAATATACCCTTTATATATATCCAATATTCGATTTGACAGACAGACATTTTTGGGCCCCGATTATGAATTTAGTAAAACAATATAATATAATATAAATTGATTGTACTTATTTTTTAATTTAGCTAAATATAAATATACAAAGGTATATATTTGAACTACTTTTTTTTTTATTTGTGCTCTATTCGGATATGCCCAATATGATATTTTTTCGCCAGTAGGATATTTTTGTAAAAGTAGCGTTTTTGTTTATGCATTTGTGTGTAGATAGTAATTTAGATGAGTTTATTCAAAATTTTACGTTCACATGATGTTTCTTCTGTATTTTAGATTATTGTCTATGAAATTACCGTTTTCGAAAATCAGTGGTTACTTTGGACATAAATTGCAGCATAATATGTTATAACGTGACTTAGAAACAAAGACTATAAATAAAGCTCGATTTTATATACAAAAACCCTGATATTATATCTGTGCCTCTAGTGAGAAAGGTTATAACTCAAGTTATAGCCTTTTTCTTTTTTAGGCTACTTTAAATAAGCAAATTTTTCTCTTTCGAATGGTATAAGAATCGTAACGATATCTTTAAAAACAATAGAGATAGTAAACATGTAAAACAAAATATTTGTGGTAAAAAAGTCATAATTAGAAATAAAACTACAATATTTTACAAAAATTATTTTTGTAAAATGAATCAGTTCGATTTGAACCCTTTTACACCATTTAATAGCGATTATTTTTTATAGCGTAAAATACACAACATTGATTTTATATGTAAAATAGTTTTAATTCATATTTTTATGTTAATTACAAATTTTGGAAAACGGTAATTTTTAAAGTAAATTATTACTATGACAGCGCGCACGGGAAGTGTTTGTCTCTGTGAGAATTTCGTTGAACTCCATCCATTCTATAGGAATTGGTTCATCATATCACAATCGTATATAGCCATGGATAAATGTCACCCGTGCGCTCGTCCTCTAACTGTAGTTCGAAACTATATAAACAAACTAGGCTCGTACACCAAAATTTTTGTGCTATTTTTGTGTAAAACACGGGCGTTATTGCAGTACATGTTGGAGCGTATGACCATGCCCAAGACTGCCACTGACCACCAGCGCATTCGAGTAAGACACTGCCCAAACGCAAACCTAAATGTCTCCATTATTTTCTGTATTATTTATATCAATTCAATTTAGTAGGCATCTAGTAATTTATAAATACTAATATCTTATTTATAATATTTATGTATTATTTATTATTATACTTATTTTAAAACAGTCATAACACTATATATGAAATGTATTGAAATGGAGGCATTTAGCGTATGATCTTTGGCATGAATCAACAATTTGAAAGTCACAACTAATCGGTTTACGCTGTCTCTTACTGCAAATTGATTGTTTGTTGGTGTTCAGTGTGCATTCATTCGTAAGTTTGTTTCAACATTTCCAATGTTAAAATCCGTCTTTGCCCATATTTGAAATCATGTATAAAGCCAATGACACAGGCGTTTACCATCGTTACAACATGCTAAATCATTACATTAACAAAATTTGTAACAATATAAAACACAGGGTTGAAACTATTATGTGGTCATCAGTAATTTATTGTGATAAATTGAGATTTCTAACTCCTTATAATTATTTCTATATAGTAATCATAAAATAAATAAAAAAATAATAAATGAGAATACTCGTGTACGTGCTTACGTGTCATACATTATACATGTCTATTCATATTTAAATATAACATTAATATTAAACATAAATATAAATAAATATAACTAAGAAATATTTAATTTAAATCTGGGATTTGAATTACCTGTGAATTAGAATGTTTACCTGTATACTAAATAAATATACTCAGTGGTTTATGGTTGTAATTATATATTGAATATACTGAAATAACAATTTCCGTATCAGTATATAAAAAAATATTTTATTGCTTGACCCCACTTAATATTTCAACCCCTGTAATATATTTCCTATGATCCTGTATATTAAACAAGTCTACTAACAGTATTTTTAGTGTGATTGAAGCATATTAAATTTATAAATACGATTGATAATTAATTAGGTAAATCATGAAATCGAGTCAGTGTTCCTATGTTATAAAATATGTTAGGGATTACGCGCTACGCGCTAATTATGTATGAACACTTTTTGTTGACATAAAAACTAAACGTACTACGACGTACGTAGAATAATCGCAGCAAGTGCAATGGAGATTATTTAGAGTTAGTATAAAATAGTTGGTCGAGGCACAGACGTGGTGAGCGCAGCGTGTAAAATGTAGCTAGTTTTTGGAAAAGAAATTACGAAGAATGCCCGACTGAGAGTTGTTTCCTATAAGCTAGCTACATTTTACTCGTTATACTTCATCGCCTCTGTACTTCAATCAACTATTTTAATTATATTTAGTGTTTTATAAATAAAAACTACGTGACATAAAACGTATTTTAACTTTTGTAATGGTCTCTTAAAAAAAAAAAATTATAAAAAATTGAAATAGATCTATTAAAGGTTTTTATAAATAAGAAGCTTAGGGTATTATATTATGATATATAACTCTGTGTCTTTGTGTGTGTGCAGGTGTTCCGCGCGTGCACACCGCCGGACGCGATCTCGCTGGTGTCGCGGCTGCTAGAGTATACGCCGGGCGCGCGACTGTCGCCGCTGCAGGCGTGCGCGCACAGCTTCTTCGATGAACTACGTGAGCCGGCAGCGCGTCTGCCCAACGGGCGCTCGTTACCGCCACTCTTCAACTTCACCGAGTACGAGCTCGCCATCCAGCCCTCGCTCAACGACTTCCTGAAGCCGCGCGCCGCGCCCGCCGCCGAGCACGCGCACGACGCGCCCGCCGCTGGCGCCTCCGCCGCGCCGCCGCCCGACCACGACGCGCAAGGTGCGCCCTCGCACTCCTAGCTCTCTATTCTCATTTACATTACGAAACTTGATGCGTGATATTCCTTTTGCGACGTTAGTTTTTATATGTAGAGACCTCTGATTTCGTAATGTATGCATTATTGTTACAAAAACAAAAGTCTTTGACACTTTATAGTACAGTAAAATCTTAAATTATAGGATACAGAGTTATTATGAAGAGTGAGTTCAATAGCGGACTTATCCCCTGTAGGGGATTTCTTCTAGTCAATTGATTTGAATTAACGTGAATCTAGTGTCGCAAAAGTTTTGATATTGACAGGTATGTTTTTAGCAAATTGTAGATTGTACTGTTATCATTATATGAAATTAGTTTTTTTTTTAATGTAAATTTGACTTACACACATTTCTTGGCTTGTTCGCCTCGCCGCCGGCTGACTGTGCGTGTGGTCCGCAGGCGAGAGCGCGGCGAGCGGGCCCAGTGGCGGGTCCCCGGGCGCTTCGTAGGCGGCGCGCGCGCCGGCCGGCGCCCGGACGGCCGGACGGTCCGGATGGCCGGCTCTGGACGGTCCCGGACGGCCCGGCCGCCCCGCGCCCGCACCTCGCGCCTGCATTTACGGCGGCGGCGCCTGCCGAGCCGCTCGCTTCGCTCCGCCGCCGCGGACGGCTGCCGACATCGGACCTCTCCGACTCCGAGTTTAGATTGAGAGTCACTCGTATGCTATTTAGTGATAGTCCTTTTCGTGTTGGCCATCGGGAAAAATTAAATGCATAATAGGTGTTTCGGCGAGTAATCGTGTGATACTGTAGTGTAATTGTCGATAAAGCTTGAGCTGTCGTAGTCGGTAAGAAGGGTAAATCCATTATAGAGTCTAAACCGTCGCGATGTGATTACTTTGTACTTTTGTAAGCTCAAATTGTCTTTTTATGTACATACCTTAAATACTGTTTTTAAAAAATATTGTTTATTTGGTAAACGACAGATAACTATCTGGAAAAAATTCTTTCTTTCACTTTGTAATATTTACTAATATAACAATTTTTTGAATTATTTGCTTTTAACTGTGTAGCCCATAATTCTTCGAGACGATGTTGCATTAGACAAAAAGAGGTAGTCACATGTTTGTTTCACGTGAATCACCTATTGAGAGATAGCCACATGATACTGTAGTAAGGAACGTAACCTTGCTTGGGCAGTGTAATCAGTAGGGAAGACATATTCAGTAGTGCATTAGCGTATTTATTGTTGGAACGTATCACTATGAGACGTACGCCTAGTGTTATTTCAACGATGAAAATTAGCAAACAGAGCATTATTTGCATTCATAGAGAGCATACTTGTAAATTTTTATAACTAGTGTAAACTGATCTCTCAAGATAATTTATAATATTTAACAATATCACAAAATATTATCTATTTGTATAAACAATTCAGAGAATATAAATTTCTAGATATACATTATTAGATATTTATTTTCTCGGCAACTTCTTTGTTATTAAACATTTTATTGCGGTGTACCTCGTCTTATCCAGTGCTGGATAAATGTAATGTATTTAATAGCACTGTCAGTGTCCTAATGTAACAACATAGTTTTTCGATAATATTGTATTCTATATTCAATAAATGATATTTCTATTATATAAAATAAAATTTGTCATTGAGAACACTATTATTAGTAGTCATTTATGAAAACAATGTTAAAATAATGATATAAATTTCATTGTCATAGTTTTAAGTATTCAAGTAATTTCATTTTGCACTTCAATTTGGCATACAGTTCCAAATTAGGCGAAGGTATTTAAATCTTTAATTGTAGACTAACGAAATCTTTTTTAATGGTGTAGAAGTAGCCTAAACGCATGACCTTATTGGTATTAATAACCATTACCTCTTGCACCGTTTTTTAGTATGCGACTTTTTAAAAATGTGGCAGCTGAGGATGTTTTGATAAAGAGGGGAATCTACTCATCGCTTACACCAGTCAGTGCTGATGGATGATGACGTTATCGTAGTTATTATTTTATTATATGTGAATTAGTAATATGCAATAACGAAATTATTAATCCTAATCTATTTTTAGTATCTGTCGTGACATGGACAACTAGTTAGTTCTCGGTGACCCCTCAATGAAATTAAATGATAGAAATGTGGTGTGCACAAATGATCACACTTCAATTCATATTCATACCCATATCATTGTCAATCATACTAAATATAATTGATTTTTAACGATCTTGATGAGAGAATATACGAGCAGCAAATATTGCTCTTTTAAAATATATAATTTTAGAAAAAGAAATATTTAAGTTCTATTTCTTTGATTGGATTTAATTTTTTTACTATTACAATTATTCTGTAATAATATTCCTACATGTATTACGCTAAAGCCCCGAATGCTAAATATATTTATTATACATTATTATGTATTACAATTATGTACCTATGTACTATTTACGTATAAATTATTGTATGTTAAGTGCGCTCGGCGCACCGATTTGAAATCACATAGTGGAGCTTAGTTATCGTCGTTAAGGCTATTCGTTTGCTGACACACCTTTATAATTCGTGTAAATATATTATTATAATTATCTTTATGGCATGACTCTGAGTAACGTTTATCGATAATTGTATATCGACTAGCGGTTAGTGGACGACCTCTTGCACTAGCGCAGTTGTCAGTTCGCTCCGCTTGCAGTCTGAGGCAGACTGCGGCCTGGGGCTCCGCTGCGGACTCAGTAAGGGACACGGTAGTTTAGATATGCATATTTTTATTAAGTCTATCTAATATAAATTTTGTAATCGACGTTGCTTCTAAAGACCTTCTGTGTAAAAAGTTATAAAACATACTAGTGACCTGAACGTGTGAAGCGATGTTTATGAACGTCTCTATCCCACTGAATTCTCACTTTCACGATTTGCGTGCACATTTCTACATGAGAATTTCCCATAAAATACATAGTTCGAAATGGGGTTATGACTTATAAATTATTTAAAGTAAAAAGAGTTTCTTATTACTATTACTTGTAATGTTAAATTTAATAGTGAGTGAAATTTGTATTTGTTTTAATATTTGTTTTACTGAATTTGAATACATCATAACACCCATATCGTTGTTAGTTATGAATGAAAATAACCTAATTATAAAAGTAAATATTAAATGAATAGTAAACATGGCTTTTCATTTAATAGTTAAGGATTTTATTCTCCTCGTGACTTGCATTTTTTAATTTTATAAATTATGACTTCTACAGATGAGATACATTATGATCATAGAAAATTCAATTTTGTTTTTGATAAACTAACAACTATTCCAACAAATTTATTTTTAATGGATGATAATGGAATGTTACCTCGCCTACGCTAACGGCATACGCTGACGGAGCACCAGAGAGATGATAGGTGAGGATGAAAAGGCAGGTTTGTTAGTCCGTCGTGATGAATACACCCGGAATTTAGTACGATGATTTCCAGGGGGGACCACGTGGAGGTCGACATGACAAGGTATATTTTTAGCAATGGGATTGGTAGTCCACATTATTTATTTTTTTTTTTTGATGGATGAAAATGGTATGGTAACCCCGCCTGCGCTAACGGGATACGCTGGCGGAGCACCAGTGAAGGGTGATAGATGAGAATGAAAACAAGCCAGTTAGTCCATCATGATGAATTCATTAGCAATTAACCATGATAGTTTCCAGGGGGAACCGCGAGGAGGTCGACCTGGTTGGGTATATTGCTATCAATGGGATTCTCAGTTTCCATTACTAACAATCTCTTTTCCCCTAGTCCACATTATTAACAGTCCCATTTTCTCTAACAATTGTATTACACCTGTTCAGGTTCTAACTAGAGTTTATTTTTATGAGGATAAAGTCAGGTTAGTTGGCCCATGACCAATTCAACAAGAATTAACTATAATCGTTTCCAGGCGAAACCGTGTGTAAGTCGATTTGACAGATCATATTGATAACAACTGGGCTGCTAGACTTCATTGCTTACAATTCTCTCCCCCTATATCATGAGTTTCCTGTATATATATATTGAGATATATTGAGAACCAAGAATGTGCATTAATTTTAAAAACTTGTTTCTGAATTATAGATTGAAATGTAGTATTTATCTACAAAGTAAATAAATTTTTATCATGACAACATTAGTATCAACTAAACCTTACAATAATTAAAAAATTCCCATTTAAAGTGGCAAACTAATTTGTTAATAGCATCGTTTCGGTTGACCATTGCATCCAGATTTTTTTTAATGGATGATAATGTAATGGTAATTGCTTGTGTTAATGGTATATGCTGGCGGGGTACCAATGAGGTATGGTACGTGAGAATGAAAAAGTAGGTCAGTTAGCCCATCGTAATGAATACACCTGGAATTCAGCACGATGGTTTCCAGGCGGGACCATGTGGAGGTCGACCTGACAAAGTATATTGCTAGCTATAGGACTGATAGTCCGCATTACTAACAATCCTTCCCCCCATTGCATCCAGTAAGTAAAATCTAAATGTGACACCATTGATAATTGCTAATTTTAAATAGGTATTATCTGTCACAATTGTTTCCTAATCCCACGTGAATATAGCGTCTAAGGTATTAATTTAGGATATAAACAAATTATACATACATACATACATATCTGTCACGCCTGTCTCCCATTAGGGTAGGCAGAAACAATGGAACGCCAAATGTTTCGATTCAAACAAACCTCTTTTCCTTCTTCCACATTCATTAATCTTGTCATACACGCTCGTCGGTTACGGGTACTTTTAATTTGGCCCTTCTTCAGCAGGTTAAATTATTACATATAATAATAATAATTACATATAAATCATCAATAAAACAAACATTCTGTTATGAATATTGCGTAATCGAATATAGACATACTGTAATAGGTAAGTGACCAAAGCTGTGATTATTAAAATTATTCTTTTTTCCATCATATCATTTCAAACTGACTAGTTAATTCAAAATGTAGAGTATATTTGGTAAATTATAATTTATTTAACTCTTGCGGCAACCTTTGAATATTACTCGGCACATCAAAAGAGTTTTATCTTAGCTTCTGGCTGTTCTGTGATAGGTATGTCATTTTTGTTCTTAAATTATTTTCCACAGGTACGAGTTACATTCGTTCACTAATTGTTTTAGGCATAGATTTAGTATAACATAATTATAATTTGATGTTTTTAGGTATTCATGTAATACAAAAATTAAAATAAATGTTAAACAATATTACATAGATTAAGGATAGTACCAGCGTTCCTTCGTAGAAATAAATTGTCATTAATGAAGATAAACGACAAATATTCTTCAGTTTTCGACTATCACAAACATAAATTAAGAAAAGTAGTTAAGTATAAAGGTAAGTATAAAGTCGCACCTAGTTTGCTGTAGTACTATTTTTTTGTCTAATTTTTTTTGTCTGTTATTCCTTGTTCTTAGGATTAAAGTCACTAGAAAGCATTTTGTGAAGCAATGACAGCGTTTTGAATGACAGACAGAGTGACATTAACTGCGAATGACTGATGTAATTGATCGATGTGATTGTTTGATTTGATTTCATTGTGAGTACGAGTAAAATAATATTAACTTAATACTAGAAATTTACAGAGAAATGTTCTAAACAATACTATTATATATATTTTTTCTGGCATAGTGAATTGTGAATAATATGCATATAGTTTTCGCATAAAAAAGTTTATTAAAATTTTAAAATAACTATCATGTAACCCCAGTACATTAAGACAAGATCATTGTTATAAAATTTTTCAGCAAATCTTGATTTTAGTTGTACGTATTTGTTTGTAATCATGCACGAAGCTTACGAGGTTTCTCCTTTACTTACTGTTACTGTACAGATAGAAACTATAGCTGCTTATGGTAAGGAATAAGTTTCACTTGATCTTAGTGCTATTATAAAGATTAATACTTGCTAATAATGGTGGAAAATTCATTGTTGAATCAAATAAATATATATATAATGTTTTCAGATGGCAACCTTTTGTTGGGGACTAGGCAAGGACACTTGTTAATGTATTCATTATCCACCAATAATGGGAATCAGGGCAAATATGGATTACAATTGCTACGATACTGTAAAAATTTTAGTAAAAAACCAATACAACAAATTGAAGTGATACCAGGTACACTATGTTCCCTTAGTAGAGTAGTATATCACATAATGAAATCGTAATTACAGTTTCTGCATTATAGCATAGTGTGGTTGAGAGGTCACTAAATCTATAAAAAAATTATTACTAAAATTTAACTTGTTGATTTAACAAAACATTTGATTATGAGAAAGTATCAATTAAGATTATTTATTTGAATTTGTTGTCAAAAAAGTTACTCTTATAGTAAAAATTGCTAAAAGGTTAAATACCATACATTACATTATGCTATAAATGAGCAGAATATGGATGCTAAAACATAAGTGACATGCTTTAATTTAATTATATTTCTTAAAAATCCAAGATTATGATGAACTACTAGACCTTCTTTGAAAAAAATACTAGTTTACAAAAAAAACATGACTGGTTTTTAAGACTTTTGTTGTTACTAGTCTACATTAGAGATATCTAAATCTACAGAATTTCAAATACTCTTATTTGCAAATGATAATACAAAGGGATGGATTCTGAGGCACCATTTCTTTAAAGTTTAAATTTGATGTCATGGTGAAATCTTTATTGTAAGGACCAATATGAACTAATTTTCTAAGAGATTTAAATAAAATTATTATAAATTTAGTTTATAATGGTCTATAAAACATCAATTTCATGAAATTATGAATTAAAATATTAGGTTAAGAGATGATAGATTTAAGAAGATGGTGCCTTAAAATCAAGTCTAATGTATAATGTAATAGTATTTAGTATGTAACAAAGTAGTTAATTATGAATGAGAATTAAACAGTACTCTAAACTGCATCATTTACTGGTTAATGGACAATAAAATACATGAACAACTTGATATCTAATATCATCATCTTCCTACTCTTATTCCAATTATTATTCGGGGTCAGCGTTATATGGTTTTATCCATATTACTAAAGGATTTGGCTTATAGTTTTACGACCGGCTGCCTGCCTGATGTAAAAAAAAATATATATATAATATTTATATAAGATTTCTTAGATACAGTCTAAGAAATTAAGTTATAAGTTAAATATAATATGGCAGTGAAAGTACACATTGGTGAAATATGTAACTTTTTATATACCAGTACTTTTGTAATAAATAAATAAAATTTGTCTGAATATTTTTAATTTTTTTTGTATTACAGAAAAGAATTTACTCCTTTGTCTATCTGACTATGTCCTGTCTACATATGACATCAACGGTGTCAATTTCCCTCTTATTGAAACATTTCCACAAACCAAGGGTGCTTCACTTTTTGCCTTAGATAATAAAGTAAGTAAGAAAAATTTATCAAGACACTTTTATATTGAAACTTGCAGACAATTTTATTCATGTGATACAGATATAAATAGATTTTGTTCCATAAATAAAACATTGACATAATAACATATGTCTTTCTTCATCCTAAATACATATCACATATAAGTATGTGTCAAAATTTAATAGCAATGGTTTCATGTGTTAATGTGTTATCATGTGTTAATGTGTTAGAATACTAACAGATCTTGTTCTACAAAATAAAAACACTGATTTCAGTTATGGCAAAATCACTTATTTTGATTTAAAAACTATTGATTCAATTTTGTTAAAATGTCTATGGGACCAAATTAAAAGTATATCTTTTTAGATAAAGAATTCTTCAAATTGGTTTATAAATGACAGAGTTTTGAGGTGACAAACATTAGAAAAAATATAACTAAATAAGATCATCCTTTTTGTTTTTAAGTTGGTTGAATTAATGAAACTTAAGATTATAATAAGACTAATGTTTTTTTATATAATTACAGTCAACAACATCAATGACAGGAGAATCAAACTCAGTTGTTCGTCTATGTGTGGCTGTCAGAAGAAAACTGCAGTTATACTATGGGAAAAATGGGCAATTTAAACAACACTTATTTGATTTCTCCATACCAGATGTGCCTAAAGTTCTGGCATGGGGCCAAGAATATTTGTGTGTAGGGTTTAAGGCTGAATACACATTTTATGATGTTAGTAATTTTTTTTATTACTTTTTTAAGTCCTAATCATTGCTACTATGTATAAATTTGGTTATGAAAATTCCTGTAAAAATTTTAATGGAAATTGAAAGACAAACATATAAACTAAATCTGCTCTGACATCTTCTAGTTTTTTTTTATTTTATTTATAATTTTAGCTCTCTTCGGGAAAACCTAAGGAGCTGTTTCCAACTGGAAGTTCTAAATCCTTAGAGCCAACTATAGCTAAATATTCAGAGACATCATTTTTACTTGGACGAGACCAAACCTCAGTACTTGTGGAAGAAACGCAAGATATAGAAATTAAGAAAACAATTAGATGGTCAGAACCTCCTATAAGTGTTGGTATGACAAGAAATATTTATTAGCAATATATTACAGAAAATATTTTTTTTGGATTAAATGTTTATTTTATATTTGATTACACCAATGTTACATGAATCCTTGAAGGATTTTTAACAAGTGGCGATTTTATTGCTATTTCTTCCAAAGAACCTTTGGGTAGAAGAAATTAAAAAAAAAATTAAAGTTCGACATGTAGATAAGTATTATTTAATTAATGTAAAATTAATAGAAATAAGTCATTTTAAATGTAGTAATATAAAAAAAAAAAAGTATTGAATAGCGATGTCGGTAGGTTCTACTACTACTATTATGTACTATTATTATGTTAAAATATAAAATGGTTTTTTTTTTCAGTTTGGGATGAGCCATTTGTTTTAGGTCTACTTCAAGATCAAGTGGTAGTGCAAACTGTAGAACCTTCATTATTTATACAAACAATACCAGAATTAAATAAAGCAAGACTGATGTATAGGTATGTATATGGAATATTACTTCAAAGTATACATAGTTTATTATGTGTATATTATGTGACTACATTATTGAGTTTTTAACTATCATTTGCAACTTTATGACACACGCCTGTAATTTAGATAATGAGGAATTTTACCTTTTGTTACCATAAAGCAATAATCGGTATACTATTTTATTTACTCATTATTATTTTTTTAGTATGAATGGTATGATAGTTATCATAAAAGTCAAGTCGTGTGTTGGCTTATTTTTATAATATAATCAAAGGTCAAGTAATAAGAAGGTTCCACATTATGACTTTCTCCTCTCCCTTTTTTTTCTCTCTCTCTCTCCCTCTCTCTCTCTCTCTCTCTTTCTCTCTCTCTCTCTCTCTCTCTCTCTCTCTGTCTCTCTCTCTCTCTCCCTTTCTCTTTCCAAAATGATGTATAATTATTAATAGACAGGTCATATTATATAGCTTGCAATTGGTTTTAAAATACCATTATATTTTTTTTGCATATTATTATAATATTTTATAATTGTTTCTTTTAGATGTAAGCGAGGTTTAATATTCGTGTCTTCAGTTGGTCAAGTGTGGTGCCTCAGTTCAGTGGATGTCACAAAGCAAAGACAACAACTTCTAAAAGATAAACAGTTCCAGATCGCTATCACTCTAACAGTAAGATATTTCGTTTACAATTTAAATAAATTTTATGACATTATAACAAAGTGCACCGATAATTGCATGTAAAATAATTGTCATCATTTTGCTGCTCATAATATACAATGACATAATAATCCTAGTTTGAGGAGTGAGTATCTAGAATGATTGTATGCAGCTTGTTGGTAATTCAACACAGATATAAAATTTATTGTAATAGCAATAGTGCCTTCGTTTTTTCTTAAAAAATTCTGAACTGGTTGGATGTGTCTTGCTTGTAATTGTTATTTTGGAAACAATAAACGCTTTGATTAAAAATCTGTCTCTTAATTAAATAGTTTTGTAATCGGTTTCATAACAGAAATATCGAATACCCACATGGTCCTCCGAGCCGGATATGAACCAGCGACCTATGACGCTGGATCAAATCACACGATTTACTGTTTCCAAAATAACAATTACAAGCAAGACACATTCAACCAGTTCAGAATTTTTTAAGAAAAAACGAAGGCACTATTGCTATTACAATAAATTTTATATCTGTGTTGAGTTACCAACAAGCTGCATACAATCATTCTAGATACTCACTAATCACCTCAGATTTTTTTAGAAGAGAGAGCGAGGTTACTGTTTCCATTATGATAAATTGTAATCTGTGTTGTGTTGCCTACAAAGCTTATTACTTTACACAGTATTTCAGCAGTAACTTATCTGGGATTTATATATTTATAAATGTTTTAGTATAACCAGTACTAATCTAAGTAACTAACAACTAACAGTTTGATGATTATAAATTAATATATGCTTTCCCTCATAGAACAAAGTAAATTATATTTTTAGCTTTGCCCACCAAGCTAAAATTTTAATAAATTGTATAGTTGTTTCGGTAGAAGATTCATCATTTTGTTTTATCCTTATTAGTCATTAAGTTATTTGTATCATAGGTATATAGGTGTACATATTTATGTTTTTATGTCATTTCGGATCAGTTACATTAAAATAATTGTTGGTTAAACTCGTCCAAGTGGTTTTTGATCTAAAATTTATTCTAGGCATATATTTGTTTTTATTTATGTAGTAGTATTTATTTTGATATCTAATGTGTGATGTATTTCTCTTCCACTATACAATCCTATTTACTGTTTGTATAAATGTAGGAGATTAGAGTGAATTGTTTTTTTTTATTACATACATACTGAATTACAGAAAGTATGTTCTATTGGTATTCAGAAACCACGTAGGTTTATATTAATGCTAAATACATTAAGACTATTCAACTTGTATTAATAGCATGCAAGAAGTATTGTTTTAATTTACACTTAAAGTTGTTAATAGTAATATTATCCCGTACATCGGTGGGTAGTTCGTTAATAAGTCGAGGAACTAGATAGCCGTACGCTCACCATAACAGTTATTTACACGAGTGCTATTGGTGCAAAGTCATTTCCGTGCGATTGCCCACGTATATACAGCATGATTAATTTCATTCCAATATTTTTTTGTTAAAAAAGTTTTAGGTGTAAATTAAAGGTGTACAGTTAAAATATTATATTTAAAAAAAAAAAAAACCAATATCATCGTCATAATACTGCATCTTAATTTTGGGAGATACAATATTTTTTAAAATTCTTCATTAAAGTTTAAAAATATCATTTAAATATGTTTTATAAGTGCGTTCATAACTTGACAACCCATATTCAACATAAGATTCGGTCAATGAATTATACAGCATCAATTTTCCATTAAAGGGGGGATGTACATGTTTTTGTATATATCGTGTGAGAAGAGTAATTTTATTTTGATTATCAAATCTGATTTGTAATAATAGTTTAAATGTTCTTGGAATAAAATCTAATTAAGCGTTAATCCAGGACATGGCACATATGTAGACCAAATTTTATTTAAATCCCTTCAGTCTTTTAAATATGAATGAATACTAAATATTCTAACATCTTTATAAACTCTTATACTTTATAAACTTTTAATTTATAATATTGGTATGTTATGATACTACATTCTGCAAAATCTCAATCGTTCGTAGTTATCATTTTTAATAGTATAAAAAAAGTCGGTGATCGCGTCTGTTTTTCGCTTCTAATCAACGCAATAGATTTTGATACTGTTATTTTCAGTGTTATTAAATATATATATAATATTTTTTACGGAAGTTCCTATCTACAATTTGCAATCATGCAAAGTCGGGGTTTATGATTCGTTGGTATACAAAGGAAATTTTGTTTGGTGGATATATTTTTGTGTGTTGTAATAAATGGCTCGTGTATGATCTTTAACTATGATACTTTGACCGATATTATTTAAATTTAAACAGCTCTCGAGAAACAATTTGTCCGTTTGGTAAAATTTTGAAACTATTCACTATATTGGCGTATACATATCAACGCCGCATGGGGTTTTACTTGTAGGTACTATGAAATATTAATTTATCAATGATTATTAAGGTCATTGATTTATATTTATGTAGTACTACCGTATATAGCCAATTTGTCCTTATCATCGTTTTAAATCTCATATAATTAATTGATACTTTTTTATGTTGCAATTAGGCTAAATATATTAGTTTTTTGTTTATGGTTTCGTGCTTCATTTTTTCTTTAAACAGCGCTATGTTTAAAGGAAAAATAAACCAACGACAGGCGACCATTATAACATTATTAAATGTAAGTAAATAACAATAAGGAAAATGTGTATATAATTTTCATGTAAATCGTGTGTTCGATTTATTATTGTTTATCGCTATAGGTTATAATTTATTCTGTATATATATATATTATATTTATTTATATTATAATTATTATTATATTTGTACATTTTTGTCTTTATTTGCAAAAGCTCACATAGAAGTGTGTGGTTTGTCATTGTGATATTTGCACATATTGTTTGGTTTAAACAAAAATGCCTATGCCGACAAAAATAAAAAACCGAAAGGGAACGATAGCTTTATTAATAAGTGTAAGTAGTTTTTTTTTTAATGAAAATATTACATTTCGCTCCTTAGAATTTTTTTTTCTATGATTTTATTGTGTGTATTTGTATGTATATTTTATGACTAGTATATGCGAAATTAAATAAACAAATCTCCCTTAAAATAATTATTTAAAATGTAATTTTCTTTTAAGTATATCCACGCATGTTTTTTTCGTTTTCAAGCTCATCATTTGTTTACCTTTTCTTATTAATTTGTAAATTAATTTAACACAAAATAGTCTACGAGTAGATCACAACCTACTAGGTCCATTTTTCTTATTGGGATATAAGCTATTCTATGAGATCTAGGTTAATTCTTATTCCAAGAAAAGTTGGGAAAAACAATCCACTGAGGAACCGATTGTCCGTTTGAAATTAGCGTGTACGAATATCGTAACATGGGATTTTCATATTTTGGGATATGGTGTATCGAGTGGCAAAAATATCCCAAAAACGGTCAACCAACTGGTTTTCGTGTATTTTTTTTTTAAAAGAAATGCGTCATTTTTCTTGTTGCAAGTAATAACTATAATACATTATATTAGGTACGTGATTCTTTCACGTGTTTTTGTCTAAACATGAACGAATCGCGTAAGTCTACTAATGATGATAATGACCCCTATAAAGTACAAATTCGCTTACATATGAATAAAAAAGTTCAGCTGCTTTTCGTGAAATGATTGTAGATGCCACTATTCTAAGTTATTCTAAGCTGTATAGTGCACATGTCTTATATTTTTACCTCACGTTTAAACATAACATACTAACGAAATAATTACACTACATTTTTTATTGCAGAAACTGTCAGAATGTTCCCAAGAAGAAAAAGAACACTCACAACGATCGATACAGAAATTGTTTGCTCTTGATCTATTCGACTCTAAAGAGTATGCACAGTCCATGAAAGAATTCATTAAACTAAACATTGATCCAGCTGAGGTTATAGAGTTATTCCCTGATTTAGATAGCAAACCTGGTCCAGAATCGTCTAAAAATAAGAAATTAAAAGGAAAAGACTTGGAGAATGCATTAAAAGCTTTAATAGATTACTTGCTCGCGTTAAGAGCGAACATTGGCAAGAATACCTCTCAGGTTTCCGGTAGCCAAGAAGAGGGAGGCAGTCAGAGAAATGTGACACAACAGCTGGAACTGATCGATACAACATTATTGAAATGTTATTTGCAGGTAATTACGTTATTTCGTTACATGAGTTTTTTTTATAGTAATCAAACGTATGATCCGCTTGATGGTGGTAGTCATTTAGTCTGTGGACGCCTGCTAATTACGGATGTTATGTGTATTTACTAAAGATCCCAATAATTAAATCCTATATTTTAAATACACCAAGCCAAACTATTCTGTTGAAACCCTATATAAATTGATCCAATAATTTTTAGTTGATATCCAGATAATGAGATTGTTAGATAGAAAGATTTTAATAACGGTCTTATTCCAACCAATCTGAAACAACACCTCAGATGGTTGGGATTCCGAGGCGGCTCTCTTCCGAGAAAAATGCAGAAGCGAGATGTGCTCCTGGATACAGCCCTAATAGTGCGCCGATTTCTTTCTCTTGGGCTCTGTTTCGGCCGACTGTATTTTTATCAGGGATTATTTATTTATTTTTAGGAAAACATACAGCCTCATTCAATTTATTCATAGTCAAATTACATTTATGTTGAGCCATAAATAATTTTCACATTTGCGTAATTACACAATCGGTTCTTATGTAAAAAAAAATAGTTTGCCATCAGTCCTTTTTACGAGAAGACATGTGAATTTTAGGAAAAAGATAAAAATATATGTGACCACATAATTATAATAATCGCCTAATTCTCAAGCTATAATATCGGATAGGAATTAGGCAACTAATATCTAGAAAAAGATGAACATGTTTATAGGCGATGATTACACTTTCCATCAGGTAGATCATAGGTGTGTTTTCCATTCCCATACAAAAAATGAAATTAAGAAATAAGAATCTGGGAAAACAAGCTTCTGTTTTTATAATTCCTTTTAATATTTTTTTTAGACAAACGACGCCTTTGTTGCCTCGTTATTACGTCTTAATAATTGTCGCTTAGAAGAAGCGGAAAAGACTTTACTGCAACATGGAAAGTACAGCGAGCTTATCATATTGTATCAAACGAAGGGGCAGCATACGAAGGCGCTGCAGCTGCTTCGAGATCAAGCTAAACAGCCAGACTCTAGTCTAAAGGGTTACTCTAGAACTAAAAATTATATGCAGAATTTAGGTTTGAATTTTTATATTTTAATATGATTTATAGATGATTTTATTTCATAATATGTTACTTTGGATGAAAGGAACGTCATGTTAAATTGTTATTTAGACCAACTACAGCTATTGTTTATCGTTCTCCTTGCTACTATTACAGGACCTTCATTCTGCTGATTTATAATTTAATAATTTAAATATAAGTTAGACCATTTTATGTCTAAATTAACTTGCAATTTTAAAATTAGTAAGGTTTTAAAATTATTTGTTAAATAATTTTAAATCCTTACTAGATTTAAAATTATTTGTTGCGCTCTAGCCATTTCTAAATCTTGCTTACTAGTAGTATTTACTTTGAAGTGAAGTAATTTTTCTATTATATACCGTTATTGTTTTCTTCTAGGTGCGGAACACATTAATTTGATATTTAAATTCTCCGATTGGATACTGAAAGAGCATCCAGAAGAAGGATTAAAAATATTTACAGAAGATAAAGTGGAAGTAGAAAATTTGCCCCGTCCAAAGATATTAGATTTTTTGTTAAGAGAGCATGAGACATTAGTGATACCATATTTAGAGCATGTCATTCACACATGGAATGATACTAACTCGTTGTTTCACGACGCACTAATTAGAATGTATAGAGAAAAAATAACGGACAAAAAGGGGGCTGTAACGGAAGAAGAGATACAGCATACCAAATCAAAGCTGTTAGCGTTTTTGGAGAAATCAGTACATTATACACCGGAGAGGGTGATTTTACATTTCCCTAACGACAGTCTGTTTGAGGAAAGAGCTGTTATTTTAGGTAAACTTGGAAGACATGAGCAGGCGCTCGCAATATATGTACAGATTCTTGGTAAGCGTAACATAGTCTTATTGGCAGTACATTTTAACACTTTTAAACAATTTTATAAAATATTTTTTTAATTTGTTTTATTTTTGTATTTTATGCCTTGACTTCGTCTACGCTTTTTTTCTTCAATGCGGTTTAATTCCGTATTGGACCCAGACAAATTTTGTAACGATTATGTTTTTTTTTTTGCATTTGTTTGTCGGTTTTTTTTTTATATATATTTAAACTTGGAATTATGCAAAGGATCTTTCCCTTTTTTCGTAATTTCAATGAACATCACAAATGTTAAAATATAAAACAAATAATATTGTTGATGAATATATTTTTTGTTTATAAAGGATATTTCTTTCAGGTGATGTCGATAGAGCAGTGAGATATTGCGAGAACGTTAGCGAAAATTCAAACGATCAAAATCAAGACGTGTACGTGATGCTAATGAAGATCTTAGTGAATCCTGAGAACAGTAATGCACTCAGTGGGCCCCTAGAGAAAGTGCCCCGGAATCCCAAAACTGCAGTACCAGATTTGGAGACTGCCTTGAATATACTGGAAAAACATGGTGATAAAATATCACCACTAAAGGTTTGTAGAATATAAATGTGTACACATTTTTTTTATTACGATTAATCCTGGTAAATAATAACAAATATATTTTAATTTTCCTACTAAATCTTCTGTAGTAAATAAAAGCCGACTAAGGGAGGGCGAGGGATAGGCAGCAGCATCCCTATTAAAACATCTCTAAAACCTGACTACGGTTATCAATCCGTCTGCCAAGCGTGACAATTATTGGCATAACACCCCAAAGGGGAGGCTTATGTTCAGCAGTGGACAGTTAAAGGCTGATATGATGAAATAAAAATATCGGATAAATTTACCGTGTGGTCCCAACGTAGAATAGGTTACTCTTTTCTTTCTCGTGGGTGTCATAAGAGACGACTGAGGGAACTTAATGGTCGAAGGATGGGCTGCAGAATCCCTCTTTAAACATTACCAAAGCTTATCTGCGGTTGCCAACCCGCCTGCCAAGCGTGGCAATTACTAGCATCATTCCCAAATAGGGAGAATCCTATATTTTGCAGTAGACAGTTAATGGCTGATATAATTAAATAAAATAAAGGAATTTAGGTATCTTTGTCCTACTCGTGTTTCTGCCATTAAGCTTGCTTTATCATACCGAAATTCATTCGGATTGAAAATAAGTCAGTAAAATAAAAGAGCATGGAGGTATAATATTTTAGTTCTTAGGTCTATTGATGAACGCTCATAATAAAAATTATGTTAAATGCTTAAGTGCTTCTTATATTTTTTTTGCATAAGCGTAACTTAAATATGGAAAGAGGTCTTGCTTTGATTATAAGAGGATTAATAGTAGTTTTTGTGCAGGCGTTATCCGTATTGCCAGATGATGTGCCCCTGACGAGATTGAAGCGTTTTCTCGAGTGTGCACTGGATGCACAACTAACTCTCAAGCGACGTACTCAAGTTTTAAAAGGATTGCTCTCTGCGGAACATATGCAGGTTTGTTTATTTTATGTTGACTAAATATATAGTATATTGTATATACTAAGTATTTTAAAATAACCTGTTATGTCTAAACATAAAGCTTAAATATAAAGATTTGTGAGTTTGAATATTTGAATGTGTATTTTGAATAAAACTTGATCGAATACGAATGAAATTTGACTTTCTTGTTGGATTTAGTATGTTTCTATTCACGGGTTAAACATAGTAAATTATTGCACGTTTTTATAGTAGAAATCTATTTTAAAATTAAACCTAGTATGTGTTGTATTACATGTTTTAGATATCGCACAATGTTTTAATGCTATGTAACTTATGCAGTAACTTTTGTATTTAACATTATACTGTGGTTTTATACAAGTTATTTGTAAATTCAGATATTTGTTGCTTGGTAATTCATAACACAGGATAACCTAACTTGAGGACCAAGCGATTGGTGCGATTCTGTGGTACATATACCAGAATAATTCGTCTAAGAAATTAATTTAATATTTTATTTGTCCCACCCAGGTACAAGAATTAAAACAATTTCACGAATCTAAAAGTGTGGTCATCAACGACTACAACGTATGTCCAGTCTGCAAGAAACGATTTGGCAACCAGAGCGCATTTGTGCGGTATCCTAATGGTGACATCGTGCATTATTCATGTAGATTAGACAAGTAGAAATTGCTAGATTTTTATTTACTTACCAGAGGGAGACTTTGTACAAAAGTCGTTTGCTTGGGCACCTCTGTCCCATTCGTGTTTGTACCGTGAAGCAGTTGTGTTTGCATGGCTGTGTTTCGGTTTGAAGGGTGGGATATGGCAGCGAATTTACAGGAACAACACCCGAGTCCTCAGTAATGGCAACGCATGGGAGGTATCATGCGCGAAACAGTATACTCTGTTATGTCCATGGTACGGCTCGTATCTATAGGTGACGGTTGCCACTTTTCATTAGGTGGGCCGTAAGCTTGTTTGCCATTCTATGTTGTATAAAAAAATTCTTCGAATACAGAGTTTATTAAATTATAACACTAGATTGTATAGTGGCTGCTCTTATTTACAGCATGTTAACATTTTATTTATGTTAATGAAAATAATATATATTAAATTATAAATTATATTAAAATAGCTTGCTAAAAATAATTGTTTTCGAATATGTGTACATATTGCAACATATAGACTGCTTGAATGAATTTTATTACTTGGCTAGGCTTTTGGCTACGTGAACGCTACGAGTGTAGTAAACATTGTATATAGCGATTGAACACACTGTCACAAGAAAGAGAGAAAAAATAATTTACTAAGTAAGTGTGGAAACCACACTCATAACAATTCATCGAGGCCCTACTGTTATATACTATTATTATTTCCTTAAATTGTAATGCAATTGTAAAATACGGAATTGTAGTTTAATTGACGTTTAATAAACTGCTTCAAGGCAAAACATAAATTTCTGAGCTAAAACGATATATCTAATCAGGAAATTGCATATGTTTGACAGATATTTAGCCATCTTATAGCAATCAACGTCGATCATGTTCAATTTTGTGTTACTAATTTTGAATTCACAATTTAACTTGTATCAGAAAACAAAGAAAATTATAAGAAAAGATATTATTTTAAATTTGAATATGTTTATTGATTGATTTCCTTGTATATAGTTGTATATTGACTTATTTCATTTGTTCACAATAGATCCTACTGGTTCGATTTTTGTCACTGTCTAATTGTTTTAGGAAATCCACTCTAAAAACTACATTTACAATGTATAATGCTCTGTAGAAATACTGATTGTCCGTTTATTTCTTATTAATAGCTACAGACTAGTGTAATCTTATTAATACATATAACAAAATTGAAATTAGACAACGTCTGTACATGGGAGATTAAATATCTCCCGATAAAAAAATATATGAGCTGTCTTAATAAGAGTAATTGAAACCAAAATAATAATTTTTAGAAATTTTGTCCGTCTGCCTGTCTGTATGTTTGTTCCCGCAAGTCGGGTAAATTACGCAAAATTGCATCAAATTGGATACGGATTTCGTAGTTCCATTCCTGAAGGTGTAATTTAAAAATTTGTGTGTGTTTTGATAGACATCAAGTGGTCTATTTCATTAATTTTCCTATTTCTAAAGTCTACCTGCACAAAATTGCGGGCAGTAAAAAGCTGGTTATAAAATTGTACCCATTATTAATATTGAAATATTTTTATTTATGCATTTCGTATATCATTGTTATTATAGATGTCCAAAATTGAATAAATAGTTAAATAAATGTACTAAAATTAATAAATTAGGTGTTTATTTGTACGTAGATAAAATCACATATTTATTATGTTATGATCACATAAGACTAAACAACTAAATATCTCCAAAAATAGTAAGCGTATTAGAATAATAATGTACATGTGTAAAATGAAGTATATTATTGAGTTCATACTTATATAATAAGAGTATAAAAGACACATCTTGTACAGAAGGTTTTGTAAAAATGTACAATGTGATATTCTATTATATATAACTACCTGTTTATATTCCATTATGTTACAATTGGTTAATCAATGTATTAAACTAAATATTATAGCAAATTTTTATGCGGAGTATTTGTTTCATTGTACGTTTGTAAACCCTATTTATGAATGTGTTAGACGTGATGAAATTAATTTAGTAACAAGCATTCCTAAACATACTAAGATAAAATAAAAATAATTGGCAAGAGATTTTTTTTCAGGATTAAGAATTTCAATTTACATCGAATGTTTCGTTTTCAATTTAATATATATTACGGGAATCATACACTATATTACGGGAAATCAGATAAAAGACATCTAGGAACACAACCTCAGAGGCACTGCGCAACCTACTCTCTGAGACAATTTAGAAAGTTCGTTTCCCACATTGGTTTGACAGTAAATCGAACTCGGTAAGTCATTTATGCAAAGACTTGTGCTTTCTACTACAAAAAAAAAAAAAAAACAATGCTACAAAAGCCAATATATAGGTATATCTTTAAAACAGATGTACTCCTGAAAAATTACTGTTTGTTTCGTGCGATTATCGAATTAGTGACTATTGTAATGGTGTCAAAAGTTCGTATGGAAGAACTGCACTGCACTGCACTGCAATTGCACCTTTGTGTGCTCGTTAGAATCTTTGGACTTGTAATTTTTTTCTATATCTAGTCTATTTCAATAGAATTGAATGAAAATCTAAAAAAAAAAAAAACGAATAATGAGCCGACTATAAGAAATAAGGCAGTCTGTTGATGTATATGATTAATTGATTGAATGCTTCGACATGTTACTAATTTTATTTAAAGAGTATATCTATGGCAATTTTAACAATATTTTGTTGCCTTTCTATAAATTCCATTAAAACTGAGGATTAAAAAAAATACAATATTATGTATATAGGTGGGTAGTATTCGAGATGGTTTTTTAAACGGAGGGTTTGTTTAGAAAATTTGTTATCAACAAATAAACAAACGGCTCTTGCAACACTCTAATAAGAAGAAAAAATATAGTTATCTATTCAGTTACTTCGATAATAGTTTTAGAACTTACGACATCCACGGCATCCATTGAATTCAATCTACATGTGTGTTCTATTTTATTTTTTATCAATACCGTTTTATCCTTAGATTATAGTTTTATCTAATGATATATTTATAAATTATTCGTTATAGTCAATAGGAGCCAGTGATAAAATTAGATACGACGTGTCCGAAAATAAAGTTTCTGTCGATTGACGCCTAACAAAACGTGTTTGCACATTGTAAAGAATAAACATTTGTTTATGTGCTCCCATTTCTATAATTTTACATAAAACTTTATGATATACTTAATTTCACCAATCATTTAAAAAGGATTAACAGTATAATGTAATTTATCCTTACTAATATTATGTAAGAAGTGATGATGAAATGTAAGTTTGTTTGTTGCCTTATAGCGCCTTAACGGTTTAATCAATCGTTATGAAATTTGGTATATACGTACTATATGGAATGTGAAAGGATGTAGGCTACTTTTTATTCTAGTTACGTGGAAGAACTCGCTAGTAAAAGGAAGTAGCTCATAGTCATTTGTCCGGATTGATTATATACGCACAGCCAAAACTACTATCTCCCATATTTATTAAAACTAAAACCTATTTTAATTATTATATTATTTTATCCATTTCATTTAAATTGCCAACACAAAAGAAAGAGACAAGACAGTTAAATATTTAAAAGAGATCTTTATGATAGCATTGACGTCTTTATGTATAAGGAGTTTTTTTTTCAATGGATAATAATGGATCTCACCTGTGCTAATGGTATACGCTGGCGGGTCACTAGTGAGAAATGATAGGTGAGAATGAAAGGGCAGGGCAGTTAGCCCATTGTGATGATTACTCCTGGAATTCAGCATGATGATTTCTAGGGGGGACCACGTGGAGGTAGATCTGATAGGGTATATTGCTAGCAATGGGACTAATAGTCCGCATTACTAACAATCCCCTTCTCCCCTATATAAGGAGGTTGGTCTAGAAAGCTAAAATTTGGGATACAATAACATTAGCATCCGCTAAGAAAATATTTATTGAAATTTTAACTTAAAGGGGAAGAAACGAATTTACGCGTGCAAAGCTCCGGGCAATAGCTAGTATTTCATTTATACCTGAATTTATATTTAGGTATAATAATGAAGTATATAAATATTAAAAAAATATATAACTAATATTACACTACTAGTAAAATTTACCACTGGTGTAATGAACTGGTAAACCCGGATAAAAACTTGTTTGGTTGTAGGTATTATAGATACATAGGTGTCATTTATTCGATACGTCTACGTAGGTAGACGTATCTAAAAAATGAATAACCACATGGCTAAGTGAACTTATTATGATAACTCTGTAATTAAGTAGGTACAAGTATATTTAGTTACTCACGATGTATTTACGTTTATTATTGTACTAGTACCTACAAATTTTATATCCTTTTCGTTCCGTTTTCCTCATTATTGAGGTTTCTGACTTCCCCGCAGAATAATCTACAATAATATTCTTCTACACACAATTTTAGGTATTCGTATAAAAGTGTTCTGGAGGAGTTACGCAGACCCCTTCCTTATGTCCCTAACAATGCTTCAGTTCTGGTCTGACCGCCGTGCGGTGCGAACTGGCTTGTCACGCCATCTGTGAAGTTACCTCTTAACGAAACCCCGTCGGCATGGAGCCCGCTTCCGTTGAAGAGCAGCGCGTCGTAATCAAGTTTCTCTCGAAACTCGGCAAGAATGGCCGTGAAAGCAAAGAGTGGAAGACATCCGGGGAACCACGAACAAAAAAATCAAGAAAATCCCGCTCAAATGTCAAGACAATGTTGATGTTTTTTTATGTTCGGGGGATTGTCCATCAAATTTTATATCCCTCGTTGATGGAAAATTCTACGTTTTCCGCCTCATTATTCGAGGGCGCGAGAGGGGCGTTTCTTCACCACGACAATTCCCACACCTCTCTTGTTGTCCGTGAGAATAATCTATTCAATAATATGGAAACGGCGTTGGCACAAGTGCATTATGTCACAGGGGAGTTAAAATTGATTTACCTGAATAATTGTACACACAATTTTAAAAACTTTTATACGTATATATGATAGTAATTACAGACATCTTGTTGGCTAAATTGCACTTAGATACGGATTTTTGCCTTTGAGGAGATTCGAACTTTTGACGACAATTACTTTCTGACCGAAGTGTATTATCATATTTATATACTCGTACCACCAGACACTAGCTGCTCTATAATGATAATGCGCCAGAATGTCATTAATAGTATGGTCCAGGGGGAAAGGGATTGTTAATATTGCAGTCTACTAGTCTCATTGCTAGCAATATACCAATCAGGTCGACTTCCACGTGGCCCGCCCTGGAAACCATCGTGCTGAATTCAGGTGCATTCGTTACGATGGGCTAGCTGACCTGCCTTTTCATTCTCATCTATCATCTCTCACTTATACCTCGCCAGCGTATACCGTTAGCCCAGGTGGGGTTACCATTTCATTATCATCCATTAAAAAAAAGTATAGTCCTCATACTATACTCCGAACTAGGAAATCGTTTATACTGGTGGCCCAAACTTCGAGTAAAGCTTGAACAAGTTGAAAGTGTTGAACACTGCGCAAAGACATGTCAGAGAGTGCCCGTGCGTCTTTTTAAAGAGCCGGGTTCCTCCTGAATAATAATTTTAATAAATATGCCAATAATTTATGAAAATCGAAATAAACATGCTTTTGGTGTAGTAGAGGTGCTTCATTGGGATAAAAATCAAATGGTGAACCCAAGAGGTTACCGTCCTACGCATACCAGTGAATTGTGATAGATGAGGATAAAAGCTGTTCTTTTGCTATGTAAAAGTAATGTGCGTAATTTGACTATGGTCTTTTTAGGAGCTACAATTAGCTCCTTTTTCAATAAAGTAACAACTTTCAGTCATATGTGTCGTCACAGTCAATTGATTTCCGTTTCCGTTCTTCTGTTATGCAAACATACTTTGATGACAAAACATTTATATTTTTTGTTCATTAGTCATAGCTTCAGAGTCCATGTTTCTCCCAACCAATCATTTTTTCGCCATGTCGGTCCCGGCGTAGAAAGGGCCAGCCAGGCCAGGCAGGGCCGGCCAGGGCAGCATCGTCCTTCTTGAAACATCTCTAAAACCTTAATTGCGGTTTCAAACCGCCTGCCAAGCGTCACAACTACTTACAAAACTCCTTTTATGAGGAAGACTTATGTCCAACAGTGGACAGTTAACGGCTGAAAGAATAAATTGTTATGAGTTTGTAAATATATTTGAATATTACTAATGTATATTATAATAAAATATTTTTTTACATAAATCTTTTTGGTCTTTATGTTACGTTCATATTTACTTTACGCCTTCTATAAAGGTTGCAGATGTAACTTGGATAAATAACATGGGAAAACACGTACCTAACTATACCTACAGCTCAAAATCAGAGGACATACCATGAAACGTTTTCTGTAATTTCGAGGTTAAACGGAACACTTATCATGTACTTTAACATAAAGATTTTATGTTAAAAGTACATGATACATAACGTTTAAAAATGTTAAAATATCGACTTTTATGGTAGGATTTATGATGACTGAAATGATAAGCTCCACTTACTGGGATGACTCCTGTGAACAAAAACACGAAATTGAGTCCGAAAATTCGGAAATTCTTTTCATGATAGAATCCTGTTTATTACAATTGGTTATGTACTAGATTGACTTTTAAAAAGAATGCAATGCATAAATAAATTTCTTGATAAATACTCATAAAAAGGCTCGATGTTTTCCATCATTTATATTGCAAATTCTACAGAAGATATATAATAGAATTGTCTAATACTACAAATTGGATTAAAATTTGAAATAGACCATATATCTTATTGGAAGTGCGTTCTAACAAGACTATTGTAAAATGCTGCCTTTTGTCTACTCTATTTCTGTTTGCGTGTTAATTAATGAATGGTCGATAATTTTATTATCTGTTGATCGTGTGGACGCACCCGCAAGTGTCTGCTATGACGCGCAATGACGCAACAGCCGACACCGTATCCGCGACGGTTGAACGTGGGTCGTCGCTAACGCCGGTCCGCCGCTCGCCTCTGTGGCCCAATGGATAAGGCACCGGCCTCCTAAGCCGGGGATTGTGGGTTCGAGTCCCACCAGAGGTACACTAATATTAATATTAGCATTTTTGTAAAAACTGTAATACGTTTGCATAATTATCATTAAAGATTTTCCGACTAATTCGCAATTTCTGGAGACAGATTGTATTAGGTCGTAATCGTAATTGATGACGAAGAAATCGTTTCGATATTTTTTTACAATTGGTCTAAAGTTATTCGTGCTTATATGTACTTAAATTGTGCTTATACCTACTTAAGGATAATAGTTATTTAAAAGAGCAATAGGCTTAGGGCTTCAAGTTTTGTAAAGGTATGCGTGTATTTATCTGATATAATTTAATAATAATGGAAATAGTTATTTACCAATGTAAAATTTTAATTGTAGTTTCTTTTTTAATTTTTATATAACTTATAAGGTCAAGTAAGCCGACGATCCACGTTATAGAAAAAGACAACTACATAGATAAGAATAATAGCATGGTTTTTACAGAATACGCTGCGACGCCTATGTTATCTACATTTCTAACTACCTATGACTTGGAACTGTAGGTAATTTGACCGTCAAATTTCACCTATCAAATTGAATCCGATACACAGTCATGCAAGTACATCTACTTGTTGGCAGTAACATGAATGAAACAATGGTATCCAAGCAGACGATTTTTCTAGTCTTTTCGATAAAAGTTACCATGTATGTAAGTATAATAATTTATATGCCAAATGCCCTAAACTGTAAATCTAATTTTAACAGCATCAAATACCTTAGGCTATCAAAATTTTCTGTTTACTTCGCCTCACCTGTCATTCTAGAATTTCGTAACAGCAGTGACAATGGCACGTTTTACTTAGATATTATTACATCTGACATAGATAAAGTTATCGGTTGTATCTACAATATTGGCGTCGCGGTGTGTCGCTGTGACTCGTCGCTTCGTTTATAAAATGCTATATCGCAGGGGAAAGCTGCAAGATATGATAACAGTACAATTTTATTGATAACAACTTATGAGCCATCGATCAGTCGATACGACTGGCCGCAGTCCCTTTACAGTTCGTCACGTTGTCACAAATCATTATTATTATAAATAATTAAGTATTGTTTAGTCGCTTATCGACAGAGATTTAGGCAATAAAAGATTAAGAAATTATTAAGGACAAGTTATTGTTGACATTCCATATAAACATTATCGATTATCAGTTAAAGAGAATTGTTGTTGTGGGAAAATTATTATAGAGGTCTTTAAGTGGAGCAGACTAACAAGTGTATGATGAAAATGATGGGTGAAGGCGACATGGGTTATGGGGATTATTACAACTATGACAACAGTTGGTCCATCGTGCCCAACGACTACGGAGCCGACCCCAACTATCAAATTCGACAGCCACAGATGGAGGAGGATTACAGATACAACTCTTATGCGTGAGTAACGAATTAATTTACTTTTAGAAAGAAATAATTTATTTACAGAATCATGCGACTCACACAACAGCTCAAATAAAAAAAAACTATTAAACAAACATAACATTTGTTAATTAATTAAACAAAAAAAAAGATATTTAATATATAAAACAATACGTGGAAGTGTATAGTCGTGTGCGTCTGTGTGTCACAATTTTTTGCGGAATAGGTCTGTACTCAGCATATTGCTACAGCGTTTGAGGCGCTACAGCGTTGTTCTTCAGCACAATTCACAAAACACAAACATCACAACAGTTTTAGTCTTATCCTTTTAAAATCTTTAAATAATCTATAACTCCTTAGTTGTCTTTATTATAACATCAATCTATAACTATCACAAATACCAAAATCTTTACCGTTCCTTTTTAATATCCCGTCTTGTTTCCTATTTGTTTGTGACATAATGGGCAACATTAGCCTATTGCCAATTAAAAAAAATCTTATTTAGTTAATTTTCAGACATTTGTTTGTTAACTCTATTTACCCTATTAGAGTAGGCAGTAGAAAAGTATGTTAATCAGACACAAAATTTTTCCAGTTTGATTTTTTACATTAAATTTCCACTTGCAGTGTTGTATTTTACTTTATTTTAAATATGACGTCATTATATATCGTATCCGGCATTAATTTCGATTGCTGAACGCAGGCCTCCTCCGATTGGGGGATTTTTGCTAGTAGTTGCCACACTTGTCAAGCAGGTTGGCAAACGCAGTTAAACTTTGGTGGTTTTAAGACGAATGCTGCTGTCCATCCCTTGACCATTAAGTTTCTTTACTCACCTCTTACGACATTCACGAGAATGAAAAGGGTGGCTCATTCTATTCTGGAATCACATGGAAATGATATGATTACATATCTGAGTCGAATAATTTTTTAATAAGCCCAATTAACAATTTTCATAATTTTAATTTGACTCACAATAAATAATATACTAATATGCACATTAATATCATTTCCAATAATCTATTCGACTGATATCAAATACATCTAATTAATTATCTAAAACTAGTAAATAAAAAAAATATTAGATTACCCAATAACATATTGTAATTTCTGTTAAACCATAACATATTAATGAGAGATATATGTTATACTTATTATGGATTTTTCTAGATTTATTGCACTGACTAGGTATAGTCGACTTAAACAAATTGCTTGCTAAAAGTAAAGTTGTATAATATTTACGACGCTGTTAGGCACCCGTTATGTTGGTGCTGCAAAGTGCATTGTATGCACGCAATCCTGACAATGTCATAAATAGAATAGGTATGACCTACGAATTCATCTAAGTGTTGAACATACTAATTGTTTTTTTATAAATACTTATGACAAATACCATATTATTAACAAACTGTATTTCCATGTTATATGATTTACAATCACGCCTTTTGTCTGAAGCTTAAACGAGAATACCCTGTGTTACGTGAAATTAGGCAATTAATATCCATAATATGCATACATACCTAAATCAATTAAAAATTTCGTAGATAAGATAAGGTTTTTTAAAGAGTGAAAATGAAATTGATGACCTTACACGTGCTATAGGTATGCACAGGCGGGGCATCAGTGAGGGATTGATAAGTGAGGATGAAGTAGGTCAGTTGGCCTATCGTTACAAATTCAACAATTATTAACTACGGTAGCTTCCAGAAGAGAACTGCGTAGAGCTCGATCTGATAGGGTATATTGCTAGCAAGGGGGTAGTTAGACCCTATTACTAACAATCCCTTTCCTCCAAATGAGGTGGTTTGGTTTGTTCATTTGTTTTATGATGAGAGTCTTAGAATCTCATTATCGAATCCCTATTTGAAATGTGTTGCTAGATTCTAGGACTGTAATAAATTGCTCCAATGACGGAGCTGTCGCCATATTACATGGCTACTACAATTTAATCAGGAAATTAAAAAAAAGTGGAAAGAACAGGGAAAAATATTGTATTGCTCTTCATGGCTTTAAGTATGTATGTAGTAGGTATAGGTGTAATTCCGTAGTGTGGCATTGGTTGCGTGTCGCACACTTATAGTCCCGACGGCGGTGAATCGGGGAAGTAAGTACCATCGAGCTCATAATCCACCAGCTGTGCTCTCTCCCATGCCTTCGTGGAGCCCTTAATTGGTTTGGAAACCCTCTTCGCAGGCTGGCGTGCTTTCGTCCATTTAGGCTCAGTTCAACTAACCAGATCGCTATAACGAAATATTCGTAAAACCCATCGACTTTTCGCTCGTGAAGACGTTTAAACTTTAGTAAAGAAGTTTCCTCTTTCATAAATTCGCTTTAAGTAGCGTAAAGGTGCTGACAATGTGTTTGCTTTGGATATTCGTCTTCTTTTTTGTTGTTTAATATAAGCAGGTCACGAATATGCTATTAATGAGTGCAAGAGTTCTCTGTGCCACTCTGCGAGCTATTGTTTCTCTATCCTTGAACTTAGCTCTGTACCTTCAACTGCGGTTCTTAGTTTGTATATTCAACATTTGCAAAAGTTGTCGCATAATTTGATGGCAATAATCCGTATTGCGCAAAGAGGTAATGGCGGTAAGTTTGGTCATAGGGTAGTTTTTTCTCGCGACCGTCGGCGCATGGTACGAATGGCGCGGGTCCCTCAATGTAGTAGACTACTTTTACACAAATTACTTTCCTATCGTGTCCCCATCAACCCCTATTATTTTATCATTAAGCATCGCAAATACGAAGCGAAAGTCTTTTAAATTCGGCGTTTAATGATGCTTTATTTCGTAAATTAAACGGTTTATTTTTTATCGCATTTTATGTAATCATGCACTGTTAGGATTAGACTTAGATTTAATAATATAAATCGTTTTAAGTTTGCTTCGTTATATCATAAATATTTAATATTTTACATAAATATTTTATGATATGCAGTGGGCGTTATTTATTTATTGTTGTATTTGTGATTTAGATTATTAGTCTTTTCTCTGTCTGGTAACTTCCCTTCTTCTATTCTGTGTTTCTCTCAATCTTCAATATTATTTTAATTATTTCATTATTCGTTCCCGTAGTAATTATAAAGTACAAAACTACTTTTGATAGATATCTATCTATCCAGTACAGAAGTTGCTATGATTTCATTATCTATTATGCGTCATCAGATTAGTCATGGGTACTTTTATGTTGTTCATAAATTTCCACCAATTTAAAGTGATTATTGTTGAACTGTTTCTCCACTTATCAGAAGTAGGAACTGGTGAATATTGATAACATTTCGGGGTCTAACGCCGGATGCCGTAACACCAGGTGTAAAGATTTCAGGTTGGTGCTAGAGAACGGCTAGAATATAGGTAGAGTAAAAAATAACCCAATGAACAACTATTACTTTATTAGTTGTAGTTTCAATCAAAACAACTATCATTCAATGTCTAAGATTCCTAAATACTATTGTATTATTATCTGTAATTATTAGCGGAAATCAAGAAATAAATATTCAAATCCATTAAGACGTTTTACTGAATACTAAATTCCATCAAGATTATTCTAACAAGAATATATTGTTAATATAATTATTGACTGTTCGATTACTACTTTATACTTTTTTATTTTTTTTATTTCCAAATTTTAATTTCATTTTTTTCTTTTACGCCTTTCAATCGGAAGCAGTCATAATCAATTATCTTTTTTATTTTAATTAATGTTTTTATTTATATACAATATTAAATGAATGTTTGCTCAAATATAGAGGATATTTGAGCTAAGGTCCATTTTAATCGCTTAAATAAAAATAAACCTAATAAGTTAAAGTGTCTTTTTTTTTTAATTTCTCATTCAACTGGTAAGAGCACTGACTCCGGCATAGCGTAGAAAGTACTGGTTAAATATTTTTTGTTTCTAATTGGATTGTTTTCTCATTCTATTGGGAAGTTAACACCACTATGATAACTTTTTACAGTAAAGTCCTATTTAAAAATCAGTTGAAAGTAACCTTAAATGTTGACATAAGGTTATGCAAAAGATTAGCAAATTATTGAGTCAATAAATACCTATAAATTTCGCTCTCTCTAAAGTTCTTTACTTTTAAAATGCTAAAATTACAATTATTGTTAAAGAAGTTATACGAGTATCTTTATGTAATATCTATGGTACTGCTCATGTCTATAGGCGACGGTTACCACTTTCCATCAGGTGGGCCGTCAGCTTGTTTGCCATTCTAAGTTGTATAAAAATAAAAATAAATTTAGGAAATAGTTATTATGAATCGAAATAGGAATTACAGTTATTTCATTGTGGTTGATTTGGAAATGACTTATATTTGTCTTTTATCGTTGCACACCATGTTACTTGGCTGTACTCACAAATTACAAGTAAATTTTACTTATTAACACAACTATTAGTTACTTATAATAATATCCATTACGATTCCGTATGTCCAGAAGGTGATGTATGTGTGTGGATTGTATGGTTCGCGGTGTGCAGTGACCCGTATAACGGAGGGCCTTCGCACCTGCCGCCCGCCCCTCACAAATCTGGCCCTCGCAGCTTACCTCACTCCAGTACACGGCAAATCTGCACATAAATCGACTTTATTATTATTTATTATTCCTTAACTATCAATTATCTGTTTTGTATCTGTCTTACTTATTTGGTACACAATTCTTCTATTTCTATTGTCTCAATGGTAGTGATATTAACACAACTATAATTACTAGGTATATGATAAACTAAATTATTATCTATTGTTTAATATATAAATTAATATAGTAGTCATTTATTGATAACTGATTATTTGATTTACAATATGATATTTGGTGTACAATATCTTAATTTTAAGTTTTTAATCTTTAAATACTATAATAGATTAACCTTCATGAATCATATTAAATTGTACTAATACATGTATGTTGTAAGTGTCGTATTTTACAAAACTACAAATAGTATAATACTATACAAAACTATACTTTTAATTTATATAAGAGAAAAACGTTTATATTATAGAGTTGTTCAAGTATTAC